AGTAGAGCCATCTCATGGGCTCATACAATGGTGTGCAGTGCTCCATTCTGTTTGTTAGCTTCCTGGTGTAACTTCAGTCTATGCCAGTTTTTTCTCCCAGGAAATCCTGGTCACAGTTTGGAGGATAGCTTGTGCCAGTGATTATTCCCACATGTCATTTTGAGTGCCATCACATCGCTGGGAGAGAAGAGACCAGTTAGTCAGCTAGGCTTTGGTGTTTGGCCTGGAGGCGAGAAAATCATTCATAATCCGGTTTGTTTAGTAGCCACTATCTCTTAGGAAAGCTTCTCCTTTTGGATGCTTTACTCTGTCAGCAACACACTCCTCTTAATAGTCTGTGCTTGTATTTCAGCATTGTGCTGCTGGTTGAGTCTTTCATTTTTCTGCCTGCTTTTTGCTCCATTGTTCTGCTGCATCTCCTGTCCTAGGAGAGCACTCTCCTCTTCTTCTTTTAAATGGATCCATCAGACACAGAGGAGGTACCTGTCCTCCCTGTAATCCAGCTATATCTTCTTAGTAAAACAGGGCGGTAGTATTCAGGAAACTGCAAATAAATAGCAATCATCAGCTACAGTCAGTTGCTGTAAGTTTTGCCCTATTACTCATCATTTTCCTTAATGACCATCTTTAGCACTACCTTCAAAAAGTTCTGAAACAATACAAGGCACATTATACTCAAGACAAGTGTTTCGTTTAATATTTGTATTACAGAAGCATTCATCTGGTATTTAGTATTACAGGAACAATTGCAAAGGCTATATCTCTTTTAGGCAATAAGATGTTAAAATCTGGAAAAATAAAGGAAAATATCTGAAATGTGAAAAAAGGTTATATGTATCATTTTAATATTTATTAGGCTCAGGTGCTACTGTTTGTGCCTCAGACTAGCTCTGATTATTTGGGTGATTCATAAAATATTGAAGGAAGTTTTGAAGAGAGGATAGTAGCAAACAAATAGGGAATTATAGAATGATTGAGTTTCTTATAAACATGGAATATTCTGAATCCTTTTATCGCTACATGTTATAAAGAGTACATGTTAAAAGTTTAAGATGTATTACAGCAAATGAAAGACATTTTTCCAAGGTATTTGCTATCTTTTCCGTTGTATTTCTTTTCAGTGTGCTGAAATCCTTCCTATCTATGAAGTTCCCATTATAGGCATTTCAGGAATTTATTTTAATAGTAGCTTACTTTTTTTTTTCGTATTGTACAGTATCATATACTTTCCATTGTTTGATTTTATGCTTCCGGTTTTGAAAATATTATACAGTCTGTCTGTTTCTGTGAACAAGTTAAAAGGAAAAAAAAAAATCCTTTGTTGCATTAGTAGCAGTAAAAGCTGTGTACACAAATAAAAGCCAATTTTCATAAGTAGACATTAATAAGATTTTTATATTTCAGCTTGTCTGGTCCCAGTTAAACAGCCTCCTGTAAGCAAGACAACCATTGTGATTTTAGAAAATCTGGAGAGAGCTTCTTTATCTGAATTACTAGGAGATTTTCTGGCACCTCTTGAGAATCGGAGTTCGGAAAATCCTTGCACTATTCAAAGAGGTATTTAAAGAATTTGGGATGGAGAAATGTTTTTACTACAGTACAGTTGTATTATAATACGTGACAAACGGGGAACAGGAGAAAAATGTAATTTGTTCAGTTTTCATATTTGATTGCAAACAGTTGTTCTTAACCAAAATATAGCATGTTTTAAGGCATTAGCCTTATGGTGATTTTTCCTTTCTAATTATGTCACTGCTTCTTGCTTTCATATGGAATCATGTCAAAGCTTTGAGTATTTCAGTAAAATGTTTTATGGTTCATTTTTAGCAAATGGAGTTTCTGGTGCCTTTTACTTTCATGAGAACTGCTTTTTGCTGGGGACAATCGCAAAGTGTCATCTTCATGGCTCTGACCTGCTGGTTCA